CCAGAGAGGCTGAAAACCCAAAGCCACTCAGTCTTGCCAGGGTTCAGTTGAAGCCTGTTGTTCCCCATCCAGATCCTCATAGCCTCCAGACACTGAGATGACACCCACAGCATTACTTAAGTTGCCAGGGGCGGAGAGGTACAATTGAGTACTATCAACATACTGATGATACCTCACTCCATGATGACGGATTAGCTCACCCAGCGGTCTCATATAGATGTTAGAGGAGAGGAGATGTTATGTAAGAGAAGCTATTTTTATGCTTTTATTGGAACCAGCCTTTGATCCTGTTTGCACAGTCACTAATTGGATGGCAGTTTCCCTTTTTTTCATGCTGCTATCTACATGCATCCCTCTATTACATTAACACAACAGCATGTGGGACATGGGTTCTTAGAGCCTTAGTGGCTAAATGTATCCAGTCTAATTTTTTTTTTTCTTCCTAGTGTTTTTCCTGCAGATGCAGGGTCTGCTTTTTTTTCAGATCAACTGAATGTTGATCTGTTGGTTGCGACATTGGAAACAAATGCTGAGTGAACTAGGATCTCTCTGATCCTAATGCAGCACCCCATCCACTGACATCACACTGTCTTTCTGCTTTCAGTAATTTCACCAGTTCTTTTAGAGCTTGTGCAACTACTGCTGAGTAAGACCACCTTGTACTTTTCTACTAACTTTGGGTGCAAAGCTTCAGAACATGAGCAAATAACCTTTTTAGTGCTAATATAGACTTATGACCGGTCCTCGAACTTAGGACCATTGCAACATCCCAGCAGTCATGTGATCAAAATTCAGGAGCTTGGTAACTGGCATGTATATACAACAGTTGCAGCATCCCAGAGTCACGTGATCACCATTTGCGACCTTTCCAGCCAACTTCTGACAAGCAAAATCAACAGGGAACCATGTGATTCACTTAATGACCATGGTGATTAACTTAATGACTGTCACAAAAAAGTTATAAAATTGAGTGTGGTCACGTGATGCCTCTCTTAACGACTGCACCGCTTAATGATGAATTTTCTGGTTCCTGTTGTGGTCGTAAGTCAAGGACTACCTGTTTTGCAATTTTGCTAACAATAATTTCAGATCAGTTTCTTCCCATCCTCAAACTTGACAGAGCTTTTAGAAAATATGTGTCCTGGCTGTCATGATGCAAGCTAACATTGCCCTCCTAGTCTCTCTGGTTTTGGGAAATGATGGCCAATGAGTGCAAATAGCTTTAAAATCACTGCTCATATGGAGGGAGACTTGATGGACTGCAACACTGATAGAATAATATCAGTGTTGCCTTCTGGAAAAAAAAGAAACAGTGCTCAGATTTTATTGACAGCAAGACAAATTGGAGGTGACTGCTTATGAGAAATGTTGCTGTAGGAGGAATCAAGACTAGATGTTTTACTAGAGGCAGCAAATTTTAATCAGCCATTCTATAGAGTATTAATTATTGTCATCAAGGCTTGATAACCATGACAAGTGGTGCTTAGAATAAATTTCATATTCTTCTCAGAAGGACATGGTCGCCAGTGGAAACTATTGTAACAAAGGTAACAATAGTTGCTATTCTAGTTATTTTTTGTTTGTGGTTCCTGGCAATTAAATATGCATGGTATACTCTTTTTTTCCCTCCTAAGTCACAGATTGTCAGATTCATAAAGAAGCCAGGCCTGCATTCATATGGTCTGGTAGAGCAGATGTTTTGAATGCACAGTTCCCTGCCATTTCAAGCTGCCCTTGAAGGTCATCCAGAAGCTATGGCTAGTCCAGAATACAGCAGCGCAGGCAGTGTTGGGAGCATCACATTATGCTCATGTGACCCCACTGCTTCGCAAGCTACACTGGTTACCAGTCAGCTTCCAGGTGAATTCAAGGTACTTTAAAGCCCCTCATGGCATAGGGCTGGGCTAGCAGAGGGATCGCCAATGTCCAGTTGTCGCTGCCCACCCAATATGGTCAAGCAGAGTGGGTACGCTCTTGGTCTTGTCAATTAAACAGTGTCATCTTGCGGGACCGAGGAATTCCATCTTCTCCCTTGCAGTGCCTGCCCTCTGAAACAACATCCCCCCATCCCCCCCCATTGTGATTTAAACATCACAATGACGGGAGCCCTATGGCTCCCGTCATTGTGATGCTTAAAACAAGACAACATGGCATGAGGTTATTTTCTTCATTCTCTTATGGGCTCCTACATATGTTTGACTAGAAGGAAAATACTGTACCTCTACTGCAATCTGATGACTGTACACTGGAGGGCAGTCCTACTCTCTAGCAGCAAGTCAGAGTAACCAACATTCTCTGTGAGAATGATGTGGAATAAGAAAGCTGCAAAAAAAAAAAAGTTTCACTTCTGGAACAGGCTTGCAGTAAGCAATGACATATGAGCAATAGTACATGCAGTACTATTTTTGTATTTCTTTATCTGACATGCAATTATTTTTTTTGTCCAATACATAGAGGCAATTGTTTATATTAGTTTAGCTGGTTTGACTGAGTATTATGGGAGTTGTTGTCCAAAGTATCAGGTTGGGGGAAACTGATGTAAATTCTCAAATATAGAGTGCCAGGGTGCTGTACTCCTCTCACATGCAAAGCCTAATGGCCTCTTTCAGCAAACACAATTTTTGTTAGAAACGTTCTATCAGTCCCATGTAAATGGAAATTCTTCTTGCTCTCGAGGTCAGTTGTGGTATGCTGCCTCATGTACTAATTTAAGTGACTGTGTATGTTAGTGAAAAAATAATACATATCTGCTTCAGTAGCTTGGACCTTTGAGTTGCTCCATGGATGTGGGTAGTACACAGGAACGTATCTGAGGCCCTTTGCACAAGATCCTTGGGACTTGTTGAGCATAGCAGAAGAGTAAGAGATCATTACAGATCTGTGCTGGGAGGATGGAGGCTGGCTGAGCTCAGACTGCGCCAGTGATCCACTAAAACCAATCTATGAAATTAGGCTGTGAACAGACAATCTTTATAAATATGATAAATAAATAATAAATAAATTTCACTACGTTAGTATACTCCCCATGTAATTAACCTTCATTTTATTTTTGGTCAACAGATAAAGCCCTTCATGAAAGCACATTTAAACCGAGATAAAGATAAAGAGCTCTTAAAACTTACTCAGTATCTCAAGGAAATAGCAAAATTAGACAACTTTTTGGAGTTGAACCACAAACACTGGGAAAGGTAAAGATTATGTAATTTGATGTATAAGTGAATTAGGATTGATCATGAGATGTGCATTAGCTTAACATTTGTTAGAGGATCTGTATCCTTGGCCATGAAGCACAGTGCACTTGTGTTTATTTTTTAAAATTCACGTTCAAATGTTTAGAGAAATGAGAAAAGGCAGTCAGGTACTCATATGTTCTGGAAGTACATCCACATCTTTGCTTTCCCTGGTTGAATGGGACAATTTGAAGGGAAATTGTAGGCATGCTGAGTTAAATTTAATTCCAGTCCTTTCTAGGATCTGGCTTCTCAGTGAAATAGGCAGTACTTAGGGCACCTCTTCAGCTCTTCCTGCTCAGTGCCAAGAGATTGGGGAAAGGGAAAATGCATCCACCTCACACTACCTTGCAAGCTCTCTACTGATATGCTTTTGGAATGCCTGAATAGGGCCAATGTCATAATTGGGGGGGGGGGGTTCAAATGAAACTGTCTCCAGTGACCTTGATGGAATCTGGTATCTCTTCTACCATGTGTTGACTTTGGCTGGGGAAATGGAACCTCTCAAAATTCTGTTCCCAGGACACGTAGTATGTGGCTTGGCAGTACTTGAGGATGAAGTGTAGTTGACTCAAGTGAAAAGGCATACGAAGCCTTTTGCTGAAACTGAGAAGGAGCATCCTCCACAAGTGGTGTGCTATACCCCTTCCTCCTGTGGTTCTGAAGGCTACATGGTACCCAGTCTGAAATGAATAAGTAAATTAATCCAGTTTCAGAATATCAGTCATATCAGTAGCAATTGTATCAGTCTGAAATGCTCAGTGTTTCTGATTATGTATATCATGTTAATGGGGAGTTGTATCTGTCATATTATAAATTCTCAATGTTTTGATTTTTTTCAGGTACCTCTCAAAGAAACAAGGACAGTAATTTTAATTTTGTGATGCTGAAACCAAACAGAAGATAGAGATCCTTTGATCTTGTGTAAGCTAGAATAAAGTAGTGCTGGACACTGACTTAATTACCCAAGTGACTCTTATACCTGGCCTTTTGGTTTGTTCTGGTCTTTTTCTTGAAGATCAGTGCTGACAAAACAAAGGAAAAGAAAATTCAGAGATAACCTTTACCTCTGAGGTTATGTAGAACATTCTCCTTGTTACTGCTACTGTAGTATTGCCAAAATTTTGAAGACCACATTGTTTTGCAGGAGGTGGGGGATGGGAAATAATTATTCAGCCTATCAGTAAATCAGTTTCCAAACTCTGATCTTGACCATGGAGCCAGTTTTTTGTATTCTCGGTTTGAGAAACAAGTACCCTTCTATGTTATGGTATTTAAGTTTATGAATTCTAAGATGTCTAATTATGTATTGGTTTGTTAAGTGTTCCTTTTGTGCAGGAAAGCACTGTCAAGAGGGAAATAAACCTTCACGTGCAGATCTGGATGATAAGATCCTTTATATGAAATGTTTCAAATATGAGAAAAGCTTTAAACCTGAAGAGACCCAGGATTAACTCCTTAAAACATGAGCATTTGCTGATCTGTTCTAATTCACTCTTTTTCAGGGTACAAGTGCTCTCAGTAACAACATTCAGCAACAGTTGTCCTAAAGCACCACACAATTTGTGCTACTTTGGCCCACACTGTGGAAGTGTGATAAATACCCACCGATAGTCCCTCATTGTGCCGTTCTTGTGCTTGAAAGCAGGCTGCCTGTTTCAAATTAAGGTAACATAAATGGTTCTGAAGGAACTAGAGCAGGCATGCTAATATGAAAAACGATAATAAATGCGTTTCTTAAAATCAGTATCCTGTCATTCTTAGCTTTATTACAGATGTTCAGCTTTGAGGGTTGTAAGCGATACTTGATTTTAACAGCCAGTAGTACTTGAGTCTTCGTGGGATGCTCTTGCTAGAAGCTGAGAAAGCTGTTGATGGAGGTATGAAACCAAGACACAGCAACAGTATAGAGACCCAAGTGGTGAAGTGTGTTCTTCTCTTGCAGATTGCTTTGCCACTGAGCTGTGGGTTTGCCAGAAATGCAGAACTGGAGACTAGCACGCAATTCCATAGAAACACAGATTGTTTTTGTCAGCAGAAGTAAAACTTCAGGAAGGCAAGGAGGCAACCCGTGTGTATAGAGTTATGTACATTAGAATGTATCTGATTGGATAGAGCAGCAGCATGCATTAGTAAGGATGGGGTGTGGATTTTATGAAGTAATGGGGTTGGAACTACGAAAACAATGATACATTGAGAAAACATTCTATGAACTCGGCTACTTTTAGTGAATTTGAACTCACTAAACTTTATCTCATACTGACCTTGCTTCCCAGAGCCTATGCTTGCTTCTGATATCTTTCTTCCAGTGTTATTGACATTCCTTAGCCTTCTAACTGTTTTACTGGTGAGCTGAACAGGTTTTATGGTTTATCAAGTCCTTGAAAAGATACTTTAGCGAGGGGGATGGTTTGCTTGTCCTAACAAATGCCATATTTCTCATGCACAATAAAGAACGCTAATTTTTCTTCTTTTCAAAATTCTATATTTTAATTGCAAAATAACCTGTGGAGTCCTTGGGGTTCTCTGAGCTTGGTTGTTTTCTTGCAAACATTTCATAAGCCGGCTAGGTAACATCTTCAGTAACTCCACAGTTCAACCCTGAGCTACACATATTCTCTTCTATTGATAAAACAACCTGTATTTTTAAAAAAACTAGTTGTAATTGGTTATCTGCTTTTCAAAATGTATCTAAGTTGTTTTTCATAAATTCTCACCAATCTGCATTGGAGATCCATACAATCTCACCAAATTGTAGGTGGGGCCATAAGCTGTTGTTTTAGATATATAGATGAATCATGCAGCATTGGAAGTGGCTAAACAGTCTTCCATCAAGCTGTAAAAAGACGCTATCCAGACACTGAATGACTTTGTCACTCAAACTGCTATAATGCAATGTCAGATATCCAGCTTCATAGGATTTTAACTTGTAGTATTCTCAGCCAGCTGTTGGTTAGGTTCCAATCCAACTAGAAAGCACAGATTTGGGGAAATTTGTAGAGACCTGTAAGTGTCCTTTTCTCCTCTGAGTCCTGTGTTTGGTTTGCCCTCAGATTTATCTAAAAAGTTGGAATATTAATGTACAGTAATTTCCACTATAGTTTGACCCCAGTACATTCCCAGTCAATTCCTATATCCAGATCAGAGCAAGCACATGCATCATTCAATACAGCCAAAAAAAAATATAGCTTAATATTTATCAAATGACAGCAAAGATTTAAAAAACCCAGTTAACTGGCAAAACAGGGAGAGAAAGACATGAAAAACGGGTAAGAATTTACATTACTTATACACCCATATCAAAATGTACAGAACTTTCCAGAGCCACGAGGAACAATGCTGTGAGTAATTAGCATGGAGAGTCCCAAAGGGAATAGCTTTTGGTTATTCCAGCTTTAATCCTTTTACATACATAACAGTAACAATAGAGATGGGGAGAAGGCACCACATGATCTTTTCTGTATTCTGTACTATGAAGGAAACAATTTGGTGGATGGGGATGATGTATCCAACACAAACTTCTTGTGTCAATACATAACTATAATAGACTCTCTGTGTATGAGCAGAATACCCTAGAGTGGTAGCAGTTCCTTTGTCTGGATATATTGGTTTGATCAATATATGATCAATATATGATCAACTGCCTAGACATCTCTTGCAATTCTGCTATTTGAAAGCACGTTCTTCTGCCATATACAGAAAAACGGATTATTTATTTCCACAAATGACAACTTTCTGCCTTTGGGCTTTTTAAAAAGCAAAATGTGATTTGCAATGAGTCCTTTTGCATTACGTTTTGTAGTTGGACCTGTGTGGATGGATTCCAACCCCTTTATCTGCTATGGTGCAGCCAAGGACAAAAGTCTCATTTCAGGCTTTTAATAATAAGTTATTAACAGTTCTCCGGTAACTAATCAGTAAATTTCAAAGCCAAATAAGGAATTCTCAAGGCATAGTTTATGGTCCTACATATGTCACACACATTGTAAATGCATGTTTACAACTTTTTATTTTCCAGTGTCAAAACTTCATCCATGCGCACAAGGATACCCCTGTGAATGCATACCAAACTCAAAGTCTACCTGGGAAGGCTAAGTTTGAATTCCAGAAGAATGAAGGCAGGAAACACATCATGCACAATATCTTGCCTTGCAGGAAAGCTCCAAGGAATTATCATTCCCACCCGCTTTTTAAACGCCTGACAAGGCTTGGCCAATCCCAGTTGGGTACTCTTCTCATTCCTCTTGATTCTTGTTTACTTCAGTGCCTCCGCCAATTCACATGGGGAGCATCTTCTGTTTTGGGAACCATTTCTAATGGCATCTTCTTAGAAGTCTTATTTCTGTGGATCTCATATCTTCCATCCTTCATGAACATCCATTCCTATCTTCACTCAAATACATAGCACAAGGGGGGGGGGTGTATGTACATAGATAGATCAATAGACAGATGGACGCAGCAACAAACATACATATAGAAAGACAATATACAGATACAAATCTACATGGTTATATTGGTAACTACATGGTAATACTGGTAACAATATGGCGAGGCACAGGTACTGCATTAATAATGATACCTTTTTATATGTCAGCATAACATCTAGCATTTATCAAAAGGAGGGGTTAGCCAGAATGATAAAACAATCTGAAAGTAGCAGGACAGGGATGAAGCAAGGCACTCTGCATAGTGATGACCAGGCACCTGAGCTACGATTTTTCAGTGAACTTAACCATTGCTCTTTACCAATCCTTTATTCTCAAGCTGCATATTCTTTGGGATTTAAGATTTTATGATACCAGGAGCAAAATTATTATTCTGATAAAGATAGGACTGTTTCAGCAACATTATGCATAGGCTACTTCATGGTCCAGAGGCCTCTTTATCTGGGGGTAATGATAAAAGAGGAAACCACCTCTTTTGGTTAACAGCAGCATTCCCTCAGGGATAATCTGCTAGGTGCCACACCGTAGATGGGTCTAAAGCAAGCAGTAAGTGGGATCAGAGCCAAGATCTGATAGGGCTATCTTTCTCAGACACCCCTTTCATCCTTCTCCTGGCAACCTCTTCTCTTTCACCTAAGCAGGAGACTGTAAGCAACCACAGAAAAGCCTTTCTACAAGTCTGAATTAGTCTCTTGTGGAAGGGGGAGGATTCAGATCACTTTGAAGAATGCATGTAGTCTGGGATTGCTGGTTTTTTACCTTGGATGCAATGTGATGATAACGGCATATAAATTAAGATCTCTACATATTGGGATGAGGCATTTGTCACTCAGGCCTTTCAGATCTAGAAGCTGGCCAGATTCAATTGATCCAAGACTCCAAACTATCATTAACCAAAGCTGTATGTTTCTCACCAATTCCATTTGATGAAGAATATGGTAGCCTCTGTAACTAATGCTCTAGAGCAGTCTTTCTCAACCTTGGTGACTATAGGATTTGTGGACTTCAGAATTCCCCAGCCAGCTAAGTGTTTCTTCTTAGCAGCGAATGTCACTCAATTTTATATGGATGAGTGTACAGTAAAAAGAGTGAGATCTAAACCTACAACTTCCTTTTGGTTGGCAAGTCTGGTTTTTTTTCCCCCCCAATAGGAACTGACTCTTCTCTTCCAGATAACAATACAGCCTATACTCATTTTTCCATATTACTTAACGAATTACTTTCTATTGCACTTAATAAAACCACAGTACTTGTAGACCACTTCTCTAAGCTGTCCTGTAGCTTTGATCTTCCCTTAGATTTTATTTTATTTTTATGATGCTAGTGGATGACCAACAAAGCAATGTTCAGAAATATATATTAGAAAAGACTTCATGATGATGATGGTGAAGCTTGGCTGAGCTGCTAGGATACTACTAGTAATGGACCCATTTGAGAATCAGTGTAGTTAATGCCTGACTCAGATATAAGCTCAGGATGAAGAAAGAAATTATGACTGGCATTCTGGCAGAATCTAATCAATTGCTAATGCAAGAAGCATGGCTATAAATTTGGGTATTTAAACTGTTTATTGCAGCAGTTCTGTTCAGTCTGAAATACTAACCCTCTAGTTATAGCTTTGTGGAACCATAAAATACCACCCAAAGGCAGTCATCATTACTCTGGGAGGAAAAAAACCCGCAACTACTTAATTACTCATGTAGATAATTGTGGAGGGAGTCTAATTCTAGATGCTTTTTCACAGTTAAGGAGTTGTAGACGTGTGCCTGGCAAACGTCTATGCAGAAAAGACTACAGGGATTCATGAAGTCAAGGTTGTGACCTCATTTCCCTTTCTGCTCCCCTGCAATTATGAATCTGTTAATTGCCTTGTAACTGAAAGACAATCCAGAAATACTAACAATAAATTGTGTGGACTCTGGGGCAAGACATGATGAGCTGCGTGATCTTGAAGAAAGAAGTGATCAGGTGCAATGCAAATCAGGGATCACAGCAAGTGAAGCTGTGCCAACCAAAACTTCTTCACCTTCACTACTGATTAGGCAAGAGCTGTTTCATGTGAAATGTTGGGCTACCATTGAAGGAGAAGCATGTGCCTCAAATGGCTACACAAGTACAACAATGGTCTGTGCAACCACTGGATTTTTTTCTCCTTGGAAGCTGTGAGAGAAACAGCTCTTGGTGCTGTCAGTCAAAAGGCATTGTGAACTATTCTGTCTTCCCCTCTTAATAGATTTCCTCTGATGTGGGGATAAAAAAAAGACTGGGAAATGTGAGAAGATTGGTATTATATGGAAAATG